GCAATAGAGAATGTGCATTCTGATTTTGTGGGGTGGGGCACTCTATAAACATCTGTTAAGTTCATCTGTTCAACAGTTTGATTCTAGTATTTTGCTGTTTATTTTTTGTCTAGTTGCCCTATCTGTCTCAGTGGGGTGTTGAGGTCCCTTCCTACAAATGTATTAATGCTTATTTCATTTCCCATGCCTATTAGTATTTGTTTCATATAGTGGGGCTCAATAGTGTTGGGTGCATATATATTTATGATGTCATCTATTCCTTTTTGATTGTTCCCTTTACAAGGATGTAGTGTCCTTCTTTGTCTCTCTGAATCAGGGTTGGTTTAAAATCCACTTGATCTGCAAAGAGGATAGCTACTACTGCCTTTCTGGGGGGTTCCTGTTGCATGGAGTATTGTTTTCCACCCTTTAACTTTCAGTCTATGTGTTTCTTTTTGAATTAAGTGTGTTTCTTGTATGCAGCATATTGTTTGATCTTGCTTTTTGACCCATTTTGCCAGTCTATTTCTTTTGATTGGTGAATTGAGACCATAACATTGATAGTTATAATTGATATGTAATGACTTATCCTTTTCATGACTTTTTCTTTTGTTGGATTCTCCCCCTTTGCATTGAATTTCTTGTTGTGCCTGATGGATTCATTCTGCTGGGCTTCTTGGGGTTGTGATTCTCATTGTCTTTTTGTAGGATATTGTTTTAAAGTGCTGGTTTTGTATTAATGAAGTTCCTAAGGTGCTCTTTGTCATGAAATTATCTTATTTCTCCATCAATTTTGAAAGCTAGTGTTGCAGGGTATGTTAGTCTAGGTTGGAGGTTGTTTTCCTTTAGGGCTTGAAATATGCCACTCCAAGCTCTTGCCTTGAGAGTTTGTGTTGAGAAGTCTGCTGTGATTCTGATGGGCTTTCCTTTGTATGTGATTTGTTTCTTTTCTCTAACTGCTTTTAGAATTTTGTTCTTCTGTTGGGTTTATGGAATCTTTAACTATTATGTGGCTAGGTATAGATTTTTTAAATCATGGCCAGTTGGAGTCCTATATGCCTCACTTTATATGTATGTCAATTTCTTTTCCCCTACTTGGGGTGCTGTCTGCCATTACTTCTGTGAACAGTTTTTTCTGTCATCTCCTTTTTCTTCATTGACTCTGATCAGTTTTATGTTATTCTTTGCATTGTGTGCCAGCTGCTGGATTGATTTCTTCTGGTCCCTATTTTTAAGAAAATTTTCTCTTACAGTTCACTAATTGCAATCCTAGCTTCTACATCCGAAATTCTGTCTTCACATTGGCTCATTCCACTATGTAAACTTTCAGTGGAACTTTTAATCTAGAAACCTGTTTGCATGTGTTTTATGGATTCCATTTGTTTCCTATGTTGGGCTTACATCATATTCCTCAGCTCTTGTTTTTTATCTGTGTCTGTTCTAGATTTATTAATCATATCTTGGACTATGCACACAATCTCTGTTGTTATCTGAGAAATTATTTGTGACTTCATTTTTTCTAGATCCTCTTTTGTTGCCAGGTCAGGGAGTCCAAGTGGTTGAGTATCAGATTGTTCCATCTCATTCCCTTTTGGTGTTGCCTTAGGTGATCTGGAAGTCTGGTTTTGAGATTTGTTTACGTGTGTTCTCCTTTCAACAGATGCAGCCTACTGTGCCTTTGTTGAGGCAACTTTTTACTCACCCAGTGGTCTTCAACTCTCAGCATGCCACTGAGTGGCCTTTTCTCTGCTGCTCACAAGTGCACCAATTTCTGGGTTCAGAATGGTGGCCTTCTGGATCCCTGAGCAGACCTATTGTCTGATTGGGCTTCTGGCTGGGGCCTCTGCACACTTGGGATGGTATCTAGGTATGCCTCTGTCTATGGCCCCTGTGTGCCTGTTGTCTGGGAAGGCCCTTGGCTTGGAGCTGTGCACCCCAATCCCTGGTATCTGAGCAGGATTCTGGCCACGGTCCTCACACACTTACTGATGTTATTGTGTGGGCCTCTGGCTGATGATTGTGTGACTGTGCAGCTCTTTTCCAGGAAGGGTTTTGTTTTGGGCCTGTGTGCCCAGGTGGCTAGTGTCAGGGTGGAGCCCTAGCTAGATGTGCTGAAGCATCATCTCTCTGGTCCACTCTGCTGCTCATCAGATCTGTGTGCACTCACTGATGGTATCAGGGCAGCCCTCTTGCTGATGCTTGTGTTCCAGTGCAGCTCTTTTCTGGGTGGGCCTTTGGCTTTGTCCTGTGTGACCAAGTCACTGGGTCAGGGGAGGGTCATGGCTGGATCTGCCTGCAGCCTCACCACTATGGTCCACACTGCTGCTCACTGCCCTCTGGCCACAAAATGTTTTTATGGAGAAGAATTTCTAAAGCAACAGAAAAAATTAACCAAATTCTTTTGAATATCCCCAATATAATTTAAAAATATATAGATTTTAGAAAGCACAAAAAGGAATTAAAGTTCAAAAAAGAAATAATAAGATAAGAAGAGACTAAAAAATGATCCAACAAAGCTCAGGGGAAAAATAACAAAGATATTTTAGAAATAATATCTGAATTTGAAGCAGTAAGAATGGAATAAATACTTCTGAAAATTGTTAACTGAATGAAAATTCAGTTTAACAATACAGAATTTTAGGCAGAAAAATCACAGAAATAAAGACAAAAATTTATAATATGGAAATCAAACAATAACTAACCCAAATTGAGGGGAAAAAAGACAAAGTATAATTATTTTTTTTCCAAAAGTAAAGTTGACTATGCACATGAGAAGATATAACTTAATGAGGTTATTGAATTTCAAAGACAAAAAAGTGTGTTTCTGCTTGTGTGTGTGAAAGAGAAAGAACATATAAAAAAGAAGCAGAAATTTGAGAAAGAAAAATATCAAGTAAATCTTTGATTTTGCATAGCAGTCAGTGTCAAGAAGAGAGGTATGATATCCAGATCTACATTTTGTGGAGAAGAATGAAAACTTGAAATTGTATATCAAATCAAAAAATCATTATCAAAATTTTGAGGGCTCTGGAAACATAATACCCATTAACTCTTCTTGAAAAAAAAATTACTTCATGACACAATGCAGCCCAAGATGTGAATCAGTATAAAGGTCTCACATGAGGAAAATGATAGAAAAATGAATACTGACCCTTTATAGATTCATGATCCTCAACCCTCACTTCAGGTTAGGTCCACCTGGGGACTTTATAAAAGTACTAAGCTCTGTTTCAGATCAATTAAATTCAGAATGTCTCAGATGAGGATCTCAGAAACAATAGTCCTTAGCATATCTTTAAGTGAAAATATATGGTACTGGCAGGGTTGAAAACCACCTGTTTAGAAATAAAGGCTAATCAATTGTAAAAACTATAGCTACATAATAAAAAGTAGAAAGAGTTATATCAGTTACCCTGTTCCTCTACATTGTATACATTGCTGAAATATCCTATTGCACTTGATAAACACTGAAAATGCCAGAATAGATGAAAAATCAGCTGATCAGAAATAGCAGAGGAAGTCAAAGAACAATTGTTCTCTCATTATTATTATTTAGTAATGAGCAATATAAAAGAATTAATTTGATAATTTTAAAACTTAAATGATAAATGTCTGAGGTGATAGATATGCCAGTTGCCTTGATCTGTTCATTACACATTGCATACACTATGGAAATGTTGCATTGCACTCCATAGGTATGTGCAATTATTATGCGCTAATTGAAAATGGGAGTACATTCTGTGAAAATTTAAACATACTTTAAATTTTCCATTTTATTTTTTTTCATTGCTGAAGATCAAGCCCAATGCTTCATGTATGCTAGGAAACTGCTCTTATCACTGTCTTCTAGGCCTGCAAAATTTCCATGTTATAAATAATTCAGATGTAGCTGATCATTAATGAGTCACTGAAATTACACGGAAGACAAACTAGTAGCCTGTAGGACCAAATAGCATAGAATGGTTGAATTACACAAGTAGAACTGTAGGTATCAAGACAAGAGAATGAAAATAAACAATAAAAATAAATATAACTAACCAGGGAATGGAGAGACAAACTCCTATTTATCATTACTGCAAGTGTCAATTGGACCAACTATTTTGAAGAATAATTTGTCATTATATATAATTGTTTAAAATACTCATATAACCCATCCCAGAAATTCTAAGACTTCATCCTAAGAAATGCAAGCACAAGGTAGGCATGGTGGTACCCACCTGTATCCCAGAACTCTGGGAGGCTGAAGCAAAAGGATCACAAGTTCAAGACCCGCTTGAGCAACTTACACAACATAGCCAGACTCTGTTGCAAAATAATAAATGGGTGGGATATAGCTCAGTGTGAAGGCCCTGGGTTCAGTTCCCAGTAAAATGCTCCCTCTCTCTCTCTCTCACACACACACACACACACACACACACACACACACACACCCCATACAAGAAATGCATGCACAAGTGTACAATATCAAGGGATTATTTATGTAATATTATTCAAAATTTTAAAATCAACAACATAAACATCTATCAATCAAGAACTGCTTAAATGTATTATGGTAAATCCATGTCATGGAATATTTGTAGTTGGTTAAAAAATAGTTAACATTGATGCAGAATTATCAAGTTGTAAATTTCAAATAGTTGCACTTTATTGTGTCTAAATAATACATTGGTGAAGTAGGTTTTTAAACTAAATAAAGCATATCTTAAAGTAGTAGGATAGAAAGATGCCCATGATATGTTGCTAAGGGGAAAAGTATTTTGTAGACCAGAGAGTATAGGTGATCCAGTTCATTTTTTGTGTTTATTTATGTGTTGATATCAGTGAGTCTATTTATATGTAGAAAAGATATAGAAAGTATCAACAAATATTCAGAGAGGTAATAATCTCTGTAAAGTAAAAAAAAAGAAATAATAGAACTTTTCATTTTTACTCTATATAATTTTACAGTTTTTTTAAAATGAGGAAGTGTTTAATAAAAATAAAAAAAGCTCCAGTGACAACTAATTCATTTCCTCCCCTAGTTCCAGTGTCCCTCCCAATCCTCACTCTCAGGATGCCCAGAGACCAGGCTGTGGTGGGGGACATGATGGAGCTTCACTGTGAGGCCCAAAGAGGCTCTCCCCCAATCCTGTACCAGTTTTACCATGAGGATGAAATCCTGGGAAGCAGCCAAGCCACCTCTGGAGGAGGAGCATCCTTTAAACTTACTCTCACTGAAGAGCATTCTGGAAACTACCTCTGCGAGGCCAGCAATGTTCAGAAGGCCCAGCGCAGTAATACGAAGATACTCAGTGTCAAAGGTAAACTGACCCTTCCATCTAGCAGCACAAGGGACAGGCCATCTTCCTACCATACTCTGTAGGCAAGATTGAAATTCTTGTTTTCACAAAACCACTTTGCTATGTGACATCATGACAGGCCTGTTGTTGTTACACAGTATCCCCAGCAAGTTTTGGATTTTATATTTTCAGGAATTGTACACCCTCCCTTCACCAGTTGCATTTTTCCTTAATAGCAAAACTCTTCCACCACTGTGATAAAAATACCTCTAACATAGGATTAAGACTATTCCAAACACAAACTACATTCTGGTCAACACTGATCAGTAGAAAAGAAAATTATGAAGTTCAGTGTGTTCTGTTTCAGAGAGATCTAGTTATACTTTTCTGTTTGCCAATATGTAAACACGTTCGCTTACTGGTTCACAAATATCTCCTACCTTCTGCCCCTGTGGCAGAACAGGTTGTGTTCTCACCCAGAAGCCTTTGCTAGAAGAGGTTCCAACATCATTCTCCTTTTGTGTGTCCCTGTTCCATTCGGCACTATTACCAGGTCTCGCTTGTCTTGAGATGGCTGCCTAGTTATGCTTATTTTCAGTGAAGGCTTTAGCACTTTACTTACAGTCTTCCTCCCTAGTCTATATTTGACCATCATTTCATGACTCTAAAATCTATACCATGGCCTGTCTTCCTCTCAGTCAGCCACTCCGGTCTACATACACACTACTCCATCCCCAAAATGACAATTCTAAGCACTTATCACCTGACCACAACCTCCTATCCATCCGTTTGCTTCCTCATTCCACTGTTGTTCGCAGATATTAACAGGACCTCTAGTTCGTTAACATCTCCACTCACTACCTCATCCATCAGAAAATACCACCCTTGACTCCTATAACCAAATTGAGTTGTTGTCTCTGAATAATCTCTTCTCTTCTCCTTCTTAGGTATGCAGAAGATTCTGCTCCCTCTGTCAGTAACCATTTTCATCTGTTCTCTAGATTATATCCTTTCAATCCTTCTCAGAAGGCTCATAAAGCCAATTATTCCTTTGTCTTCCATGGATCTCGACATCTTTGTAGGATTCTTCCCCCTGACATTTAACATGCTACATTTCTCCTGTACCTATATATATTGATCTCCATTTGATTCTACTCAGCCCACTGCTTCATTATGGCTAAACTGCTGGAATAAATCAGCTACCCAGGTTGACTCCATTTCTGCATTATCTTCTAGTTCTAATCTACTAGGTTCTTTGAAAGTCCCCACCAAAATGCTTCTCACAAACATCACCACTGACCTCCATGCATGTAGGCCAAGTGGCCATTTTCCAATCCTCCTATTTAATTTCTCAGACATATGACATATTGTTTACCATTTTCTCTTCTTGAAATCTTCCCTTCTGTGGCTTCAGTGACTCCACTTTCTCCTGGCTTTCCTCTCTGGCCACTCCTTTCAGTCTTCTTTACAGCCTCTTTTAGTAATAGACAATATTTAAACATTGGCATCTTCCAGAGCTTTGACATGTATCCTCTTCTCTTAACCATATTATTTCTCCGGATGATCCTGGGCATATCACTTATAATGCTTTTATTATCTATAAATAGCGATTCCTACACTTTTATCTTTAAAGGGGACCTCCCATCTGGGTATCTGCAGGTGCCATATTTCCACTCACATTTATCAAAAGCTCATTAACCCAGTTATCTGTAAAAATCTGACATTCCTCTCAGACATATGCCTCTTGCAAGTTTTCTACCTCTGTGAAAGACATCTTCCTTCATCAAGATACACAAGGCAGAAATCCAGAAGTCTTTCTAGACATTTCTCTCCCTCACCCCTATAGCCAGCCATATTTATTCTACTTCATAGATGTTTCTTCAATCTTCTCTATCTCTCTCTACCACCACTATCCTAGTGAGATCCATCATTTCAGCCACTGCATGCCACTAAACTCTTCCATGCCACTTCTGTCTCACTGTATTCTATTTTGAACTCTGAGGTTCACATCGCTTGGTTTTCACATTGCTTGGTGAACAAGGATCAAAATGGCCTGCGAAGCCCTTTCCTAGTGTTTTAGCTTCCTATTTCATGGCACTCTTTGGACATTTCTCTTTGTGATACTCTGCTCTTGATCCAATAACTCAAATATGCCAGTATTCTTTTCAACTCAGGCTCTTTACACATGTTGTCTACCTGACTTATAAACTCATCATTTCTTTCTTTGTTGGAAATTTCGAATGTGACTTCATGAGGAAACTCCTTCTGAATAATCCATACTAGAACCAGTTCCAGTGTTAAGCAACCCAAAGCACCACGTTTGGTTTTTGTTTTGTATTAGCCATCAATGTTTTAACTCTATGT